AAAAAAAAAAAAAAAAAAAAAATCACACTAGCACCTAAATTTGCTATCTAAATCAAGGCACCCAAATATGAATTTTTTAACACTTAAAACAGATATGTTATACATTTTTATTGCAGTAAACTTTTGGATAAGGAGACTAATTTTGTAGCCATAATGGTATCTTGGACCAAGCTGTGGTAGTTTGAATTTTTTAAATAGCACTAGGAGAACTGTGACTACTTCACCATTTCTTTTTATTCATTATGATGAATGGTAGTTCCCTAAATATTTTCAGTTACAAGGCATGTAATCTACTCAATAAGTGGAAAAGTTTGTTTAGAAAAAACTATTAAGCTATAGCAAATGTTCAAAATTACTTTCCATCAGCAGAACCATAAAAGGGCTCAAGACAGAAGTAGAATGTTTAACAGCTGGTCCCTTTCAACCTTCTGTAATTTTTACAGCTATTTTTTAGTGAAGTTTTAGTGCACATAAACACAAGAGCCAAACTTTTCTAGAAACAGGCACACTATGATTCCCTATGCAGTTCCACCAATTGGAAGCAGGCCTCATTTGCTGAGAACTACCACCATCTCTAACGCACACAGGGGCAAGTTATACTTTGACTTCCATTACTTCTATCCCAGCACAGGATACTTAGGAAGTACTGCCCCAGTCTAACAAAGCATTTAAGCATATATTCCTTCACCCATGTAAGTGAGCCTATTAAAGTCATGGACACTCAGCATACACTTAGTGAACCACTGGACTAGGTCTCAGGACAAATTATTTCCAACGCAGGTTATGCCGCTGACTACCTGTGTGACCTTGGGCAAGTCACTTCTTCTTTTGATGCCTTTGTTTTTGCTGTTATCTATTTACCATGCAACCACTTTGAAGTTTATGATCACAATAAAATCCTGATCTAGAAGCTACTTCAATACAAACAGGAATTCTGGAACTATTCTTGTACTTAATCTTAAGCAGATGCTTAAAGGCCTCTATCCAGAAGAGCACTATCTGACATCCAAAAGCAATACTCCCAAAAATCAGGGATAATCACCAGGAGTAATTAGCCAGTGTTGACCAACCCTGAGTAAGTGTGAAATTAAGCTGGAGAGGCAGTTCTGTAAAAGAAATCAATTGCGGTATGCTTGCAGGTAAAGAGTTAGCTTAAGGCACTTATGTCAGTGTCCTGTTCAGGAGCAGAGAAGAGGCACACACAGAAGCATAACAGAGGGACTGTGTTCAGAAGAAGCATGGTTGGGGGAGCACTCTGCTCCACAGAATGGGTAGATTTCTAGAAACTAGGAGCTTCCCTTCGAGGAACTCAGTCACAGGTTGTTCTGATCCTGGAACACCAGTACTGTACACTACTGCTTTCCTGCCTGATCTTCAAATACTCACTATTGCAAATGATACATACAAAATTTGGGGTGCATGGGCCCACTCGGGAACAAGTCAAAAGAATGCAAGAATGCATCTGTAACAACTGATTCACGTACATCCATTATAAGTGGAGTTTCATTACAAAAATCTCTCTTGCAACATACTGAACTTGGCCTACAAGATCCTTGCCAAAATTGTGCAAAGGGGCAAAGAGAAATGGAATGTAAATTGTTATACAATCTTATAGATGAAAAAATTAGTTGTGTTTAATGCTTTCTGCATAGTGCTCTGTTTTCCTTCCCGAAAATGAAAAATGTATACACTGTCTTTGTACATGTAAACTTTGTGTGCATGAGAAACAACTTAGTTTACACAACAAACTTCTCTTTTAGCAGCCAGTCAAGATTTTGGATGCAAAAAAAAAAAAAAAA